TAAATTTTATCTTATTATCATAATTCATTAAATTTTGTATTGTTCATAGAGCTGCTATATGTTGTGTGGGATGTATGTATGAAAAATTAGGAAGGATGATGGGCAGGTCATATGAAGAGACTGTACAAATCTTAATAAAATCCTTACGTTCTGCAGAATCACAAACACGAATAGAAATTATGCACACCTTAGAAAAGGTAATATTTAGTATTGTAGATGGTAAAATTGGTTGGTAAATTATATATATTTGAATTATTAGGTTTGTGCTGGTATGGGATCTGCAATTACAAATGTTCATAAAGAGATATATAAAGTTTCTAGACATTATCTCACAGATAGAGTAATGGCTGTAAGGTGTGCTGCTGCAAAGGTATTTTATTATTATTTTTTTCAACAATTTATGCTTATATTGCTTAAAATATATTTGATGTAATATTTTCAGTGTTTATTAGAAATGTTAAAACATGCTCCATTTTTGTATACCACTGAAATAGAGAGTGTTGCTACACTCTGTTTTCGAGCATTTGAAGGTTCAAATTACGAAGTGAGATGTGCTGTTGCAAAATTACTGGGTACACTAGTAGCAATGACTCAACTTCCAGCCCCAAAAGGAAAAAATCCATCAGGTATTTTCAATAAGTGCATTTAATTATCACGTATGTATTGACAAAAAATACAGTAACCATTGCCTCTTTTTAGTTACACAAAATAAAAATTCAAAACAAATTTCACTTGATGAAGTACTGAATATTTTAATGTCTGGATTTTTAAGAGGTGGAGTAGGTTTTTTAAAAGGTACTGGAGAAATAATAAAAGGAAGTTCTAGTGTAAATAGAGAAGTTCGAGTCGGAGTCACGCATGTAAGAGCAGATATAAAAAGAAACATTGCATTTATTTTCTAAAAATACCTGAGTAATCACTTACTACTGTTTTATAGGCATATGTTGTGTTTGTACAAATGTTAGGAGGGTCATGGCTTGAACGTAATGTTGGTACATTAGTTGCACATGTACTTGATCTTGTAACAAATCCGAAAGCAGCTAGTTCGCACGTTGATGCTGTCTATTCTAGGAAATGCGTTAATTTTATATTGCACGGTACTGTAGGAAAGTTATTGGGTGAAGGAGCTCAAGCTGCTGCGTGTAAAGAGATAGCGCACATTATTTTAAAACAAATGAATTCTATTGGTAAAGTTCATTTTTTAAAATTCTTGTTATAGTAATTTAATAAAGTATAGTTAATATTTTTTACTTTATAACTTTTAGACTTTAGTCCAGAAAATGCCAAGGATTGTAATCAAGAAACATTATTTAGTCAGCATTTATTAGTTTGTGCACTGCAAGAAATGGGAAATTTGATCTTAGGACTCGGTACAACAGCTTGCAATCTATTGTCTGATCAGTCTTTGAGTATGTACTTTATATGTACATTATTTCTTTTATATATCTTACTTATTTTCGTAATAATTGTTCTAATTTATCACTTCTCAGGTCTGATTGACACAGTTATGGCTGTTTTGGTTCACCCATGTCAAGCTGCTAGACTTGCAGCCTCTTGGTGTCTACGTTGCATTTGTGTAGCAGTTCCAAGTCAAATAACACCTTTGATTGATCGTTGTGTTGATGGAATTGAAAATATGCGTAGTTCACCAGAAGCTATAGCTGGATACAGTAGTGCATTAGCTGCAGTTCTCGGAAGCGTCCGTTTATCACCACTTGGAGTGCCCCATACGAAAGGAAAAGTAACTATTTTTTAATAATATTTATATTTCTTTATGATATTTTGTAAAATAAACAAAAGTTTGTTAAAAATTATCTACTTGTGTTTTAGATTATTTTCAATACTGCAGAAGAACTTTTGAGAAGTGCAAGTCAAAATAGTCGTTTATCATTGAACAGAACGCATGCTGGGTGGCTTCTTATTGGGGCTATAATGACACTTGGTATGATGGAAATAATTTTGATTTATTATATGCAATAAATGAAATAAAAAAAACATGAAATTTTATATTCGATATACAACTGTTTCCAGGAACGGCGGTTGTGAAAGGATTGTTACCTAGAATGCTACTATTGTGGAGAAATTCTTTTCCACGTTCAAATAAGGAACTTGAAAGCGAAAAAGCTAGAGGTGACGCTTTCACTTGGCAAGTAACGTTAGAAGGTCGAGCTGGTGCATTATCTGCAATGCATAGTTTTCTGTTGCATTGTCCAGAACTTTTAAATGATGATATTACACGACGACTTTTAACACCAATTGAGTCTGCATTGGCAATGTTAACAAAGTATGTTACTTTTGTTTGTATATTGTAAATATTTTCTGTATCATTTTACATTATCATGGTGCATACTTAAAAAAAACATTTCAGTTTGTCACCTGTGTTAAAAAATTACGGACAACAATTGAAAGCTCCAGCTGCTATGGTTCGTTTACGTTTGTACGAAACATTATTATTATTACCATCTCAAACTTTTGAAGGTAATTATAAGTGTTTGTGATTTTACGAGTTACTCATCTCGAAGTGTTTTATCTAAAAAAAGAATTTTATAAATTAAATAGGTTCTTATACACATCTCCTAAGAATGTTGGTATCAGAGTTCACATTAACTGAAAATCCTGGGAATACTACTACTTCATTATTGCGTGCAGTCTGTCATGCTAATGATTCTGTAATACTCGGTACATGGTTACAAGAAACTGATCATCGTACGATTGAAGATCAGGTAAGTTTTGAAAGTAATATTTCATAACAATGCTTTTATTGTTTCTTAATGTGATTTGCCACATGTTGTAAATGTAATATAATGTTATACACAATACACGTTGTTAACATACGATTCATTCACTATTATTAACATTTATTAATGTAAAACTATGCTGCATTAACTAAAACAGACGTACTGTAAAGAGTTTATTTTAGTATGAAATTATATTAATTGAAATTAACATCTATATTTCCACTCATGTCTAGATGGAACCAAACAGAAGGGCAGATTTGGAACATGTGAGTAATGTTCTATGAAGCCTTTCATTTTTTGCTGTTCTTCTGCATCTAATATCTTACTTTTATTTAAAATATCTTTCTTTTTACATTATTCTAATTTTACATTAATATTTCACATGTATTTATGAAATAATGGTAAATGTTAAAAATGACCTCTATGTACCTTTTATTTTTCTAAATATTCATTACAGTATGTTTTGCTTTTATTTATTTTGCAAATACAATATTTAAAAGCTATATAAAAAATTAAATCGATCTATTACAAAGTGTTGAATGTAATCAATTTTACATTTGTGGATTCCATTGAAATGAATATGTTATACTTGTTTATTTGTTATTTTGTACTGTTTATGCAATTTACAATAAAAAACATGAGAAAAGGTATTTATTTAACCATATATTTTATTTGTTTCAGCTACAGCCAAATAGTGCTGCAGGGTCTGGAGCTTTAGAACACAATCCATGTTGTCTTTATAGACCAGTACCACAAGTAAGTAAATATTTTAAGATTTTATTAAAAATACATTGAAGCAAATTGTAACGATTTTGAATTACATTTTTATTATTTATAGGATGAAATAATTCCTGGACCTTTACCTTTGGGAGTTGCTGTCATTGACCTCTCTGTATCTTTGTTTGGCCAAATATTTCCACGTGTAGCGAATAAACATAGGTTGCAGATGTTGGATCATTTTAGTGAATGTATAAAACATACGAAATCTGGTAGACAAGAAGCAATTCAGATGAATGTTTTTACGGCTGTGCTGAGTGGGTTAAAGGGTCTCCATGAAGCAAAGACTGGTTTTGGCCAAGAAGACGTTAAGAAATCTGCGACTAATCTCATTATTGTACAAATTTTATATTATTAACACTATGATTTTTGTTATAGTTATTATGAAATATTTCATATTATTGTATATTTTACAGAGCGCTTTAGTAAGTAATAATTCTATACTAAGATGGGCAGCAGGAGAAGCTGTTGGAAGAATGGCTCAGGTTATTTCTGATCCCAAATTTACGGCGGAATTAGCACAAACAAGTTTCGACCGTTTAAAATCTGCTCGTGATGTTGCTAGTAGAACTGGTCATTCTTTGGCGTTAGGGTGTCTTCATAAATACGTGGGTGGAATGGGATCTAGTCAGCATTTAAATACAAGTGTCAGTATTTTACTTGCACTTGCTCAAGATAATTCATCTCCTGTAGTACAAGTAAGTTTATGAATATTAGAAACATATTTTCTTGATGTATAATAATCTATGGTTAGATATAATATAAATGATTTAATTTTACAATCTTATCTAGGTATGGGCATTACATGCTCTTGCACTTATAGCTGACTCTGGTGGACCAATGTTTCGAGGCTATGTTGAACCTACATTATCTTTAGCATTAACTCTTCTTCTTAATGTACCACATTCTTATATCGATGTACATCAGTGCATAGGAAAAGTTTTGTCAGCTCTTATCACAACAATAGGACCAGAATTACAAGGTCTGCAGCTAATTTTATTTTTTATTATAACTATAGGAATTCCATAAATTACTATATTGCATGTTTATTGTAGGTAACACCTCGTCAATTTGTATGGCACGTTCGTCATTTCTGTGTGCTTGTGCAATTATGCAAGATCATCAGGATCCTCTTGTACAAGCAGAAGCTACAGGATGTCTTCAACAATTACACTTATTTGCACCGAGACATGTTAATTTATCTTCTCTTGTTCCTACATTATGCGTAAGAGTTACATTTATGTTATACAAATAGTAGAGATACTTTCGTATGTTAAAATTATTTTATTTATAGCGAACTTTATCAAGCAATCATCTGCTTTTACGTAAAGCCGCAATATCTTGTCTTCGACAACTCGCTCAACGGGAAGCAAAAGAAGTATGCGAACATGCAATGACATTAGCAAATGAGAGTCGGGATACTAACATAGTAGAAGGTCTTGTTATAACAGAAACTGGTCTTCCTGGAGTCTTATTTAGTATGCTAGATACAGAAACTGATAGCAAACTAATTAAAGATATTCACGATACATTAACCAGCATGCTGCAAATTTTAGCAGCGGACAATTTATCTCAGTGGTTATCTTTGTGTAAAGATGTTCTTACGATAGCTTCAGGTATTATACTGCGATGTATCATATTATCAAAATTAATCTTTACCAAATTGAGTAAGATCCATAAAATCTCATATTTGTTATGCATAGAAACGTGTAATAACGAAGAAGGAAATACTATTCATGTTGAAGATAGCACCACAGACAATGATAATGCAGATGCAGAAGGAGATGACGATCAAGCCGAGTTCCATGCTGACGAATCTACGAAACAACGACCAACTATTACACCACGATGGCCAACTAGAGTTTTTGCAGCACAGTGTGTTAGGAAAATTGTTGCTGCTTGTGTATATAATAAACAAGCACATTTTGATCTTGCCTTAGCTAAGGAAATGCAAATGACCAAAGGAAAAAGTATGATTTCTTAAGATAACTCTAATGTTTTTTTCTAACATTGTTGTTCACTAATTTTCGTTAATTACAGGTGATTTTTTGGTATTGCATCTTTCTGATTTAGTACGAATGGCATTTATGGCCGCGACAAGTGACTGTGATCCTCTACGACTTGAAGGACTGAAAACATTACAAGAAATCATAGATAAATTTGCAAACGTTCCTGAACCAGAATTTCCTGGACATTTGTTACTTGAACAGTTTCAAGCACAAGTAATTAATTATTTATAAATATACAAGTTTTAATTATATTTTATAGATATGTTTTATGTCGTTGTTAAATAATTAATTCTCATAGGTTGGAGCTGCGTTGAGACCTGCATTTTCAACAGAAACAGCATCACACGTTACGGCTGCAGCATGTGAGGCCTGCAGCGCTTGGATTGGAAGTGGAGTCGCTAGAGATCTCAATGATCTTCGTAGAGTACATCAACTTCTTGTATCTTCTCTTGAAAAGTTAACGGAGGGACATACACGAGCGCAACTTTATAACGAAAGTTTATTAACGCTTGAAAGGTTAGCGATTTTGAAAGCTTGGGCAGAGGTAAGATATAAATATTTATACATAAATGTTAATAATATTTGTTCTTTTCATTTTTCTGATGATACTTGTTTTATGCTTTTATTAGGTGTATGTTGTTGCTATGATAAAGGATGGTTCTGCATTAAATAGTAAAGACTCATTCAATCAAAATTCAAATCAAGCAGATGATGGAAGTTCTGAAGAATTTGGAAAATTTGAATTTCAGACAGAAAGCTTATTAAGTTTAGTGCAACCAGAGTTACTAAGTTTAAGTCAATATTGGTTAGCTGCTTTAAGAGATCATGCATTACTTTCGTTACCACCAGGTATAATCAATATGTTATTCTTTACATAATTTTTTCAACTATATGTACAAAATATTTCTAATAATAAGTCAATATTTTATTAGAATTTTCCAGTCAACTACCACATGATGGTGGAGCCTTTTACACAACGGATACGATGGAATCTGCTCGACCTCATTATGCAGAATCATGGGCACCAATTCTGCATGCTGCAACACTTTGGCTTAATGCAAAAGGATTTGGATTGGAAGAAACGAAAAATGAAGTGAAAACATCAAACACAACTAACAATAATAATAATAACAACAACAATGATGTTTCTGCCAAAACTAATACCAATGTTGAACGCTTCCATTTATTATTTGGTAAATGTTTAATAATTGTGCCTTGATAATGTTAATTCAAATGTGGCTTTATAATAGTGTGTGTTACTTTATACTATATATTTATTAAATATTTCAGGTATATGTATGGAAGCTCTGTGCAGTCCTCGTGCTTCGGAGTGTAGTCAAAATATAGAAACATGTTTAAACGCCTTATATACTTTACTAGATTCTACCTGGGCTCGTAAAGTGTTGATTACGGATCGCTCATTACCAATTGAATTGTGTAATGTTCTTCACAGGTAAGTTTTTCTATAATAATACATAAATACATGTATGATGTTAAACATCTTTGTCTATATATTTTATTATAGAATGCTTTTAACGAGAGAAAGTTACGTAATTCAAATGATAGTGATGGAAGTCTTAAAACAAGTAATGAAAGCAGCACAGAAAGATTTGGCAGAACGAAAGAAAATTAAACTTATAGGTAAATAAACAGTATTACATTTTATGTATAAAAAAATTGAGGATATAAATATACGTATTATGTTATAACAGAAATATCATCAGCACATGAAGAAAGTAACGAAACGCAAGATGTAGATTTATTAGGGGAAGGAGAAGAAAACGGTGAACTTACTCCAGGAAAATCATTGGTGTTCGCTATTCTTGAAGTGTGCTTGTGTCTTTTAGTCCGACAAATACCAGCGCTAAATCCTAATCCAGGTGGAACAACAGCGATTTTGTCGCAAAGAGGATACATGCCTTCCGAAGAAAGTGGAAAACTGATAGCAGCTGCACTGAATATAATGGAATCCCTTCCTACTCTTTGTTCTGCTCAGGGTCAGAATTTATTTTTACGTGTAACAAATATTAAGTTTTAATATTTTTATTAATATTCCAATTTTATTTTCAGGGGCTACAGCAATTTTACCCACATTGCTGTACCTAGCAACTGGAGTAATTAGAGAAACTGCAATACGTGCCGATAAAGAATGTAGCAATAAAACAACGTCAGATGCACCAGTTCATGCAGCTTTACACTGTATAAAAAATCTTATTACAAATAAATATGCAAACGATCATAGAAGTCAAGAACAATGGACAAGTCTTTTGCAAAGCGCTCTTGCTAAAATTATCGATCTCGCTAAAACAGGTACTTAAGATTAAAATTATATAAATGTCACAGTAATAATATGAAATTCAAAAAAAAAAAAAATGTTTTTATAGGAAATGATGAAACGAAAATGGACGAGGTAGCAATGATGTTGGGTATTGCGGTATTTGTTCTTCATGCATCACCAGATGTTGTGAGTGCGCCGAACCTACAGTTTCCATGTATCAATCACTTTAGACATGCTTTTCAATCAGAGAATATAATGGTAATATTTTAATAACATTTTAGATAATAGTTAAAATTGGCAATATTTATTTATCTTCTGGAATTTTGTAGGTGAAATTAAAATGCGTTCAAACATTGAGAACACTATTTTTACATCCAGACCGTATAATAAGTACACCCTATATCCATGCGTTAGCTCCAAGATTAGTAGAATATCTGTACAGTGATAAGAGCAAACAGGTTACGACTGATTTAGAGTTGTCTTTTACTTTGGAATGTGTTAGCACAGTTAAAGCTCTTATAGGACTTGCCGACCTTTCTCATCGTACGTATTAATCTCTGTTACATGTATTATTTACTGCATGAGACTTAGAATAGTACATTAGTGTCAGATGAGTATTCTGACAAAAAGTATGTTACATGCTATTCAGGAGACCTTTTACAAGGTGTGTAAAGAATAGTAGTACTTTTTATAATATATTTCGCATTGCCTTATTATATTGTTGTCTTTCTAAATTTATTATAAATTAATATTGTATTTGTGATTAACTAGGCATACAGATGTTGACTTTACTTGTGCCAATTCTAATTAATTATTTACTGGAGGGGGATCAACTACAACATGCTTCCAAATATCAGTTAAGTCTTCATCAGCAAAGTTTTCAATGGCTTAATAAAATAGGACCAAAATATCCTCAGGTATTTGATTAATGTTATTTGGGTAATTCTATTTTCAAATATAAAGAAGTTGAATCTATTAGAAGCCTCACTTTTATTTCAGGAATTTAAGACATTAATGTCACAATCTACGGAACTGAAAACCAAATTAGAAAATGCTGTAAGATCTACACATCAACAAGCACAAAGACATAATCGCCCAGTAGATCTTGTAAAACCACAGATTAAAATTTCCACACCATCTATCAAGCTCAAAACAGATTTTTCAAATTTTAACTAAAACTTTCTATAGTTTTAATTGACACGTTGTGTATGGGTTTAGGACGATATAATTTATTTATTATATCTAAAATTCTTGTAGATTGGATAAGTTAAGTATATGTGTATAAAAATGTAACGAAAACCAAATTCTCATTTTTTGAACCTAAAATACAGAATACTCTGGTAATATGAATATGAAAGACAGGATAAAAAAAGATTGAAATATGAAAATATTCTTAAATAATATACAACGTGTTAGACATAGCGCTTGTAATCATATTAACCAATAATAATTATTGTATTAGTTGATTAGTTATACGTGATAATCTGTAGAACAGATGTAACTCGATATTATGTGTAAGATAAAATATTTTAGTTATCAAAATTCTTACCTCCATAAGAATTTCATTGATACAAGTACTCATTTATTAGTACTTATTTATTAATAATTATTTAGATTTTAATAGACAGATCGGATTTAAATTTGAAAGAATTTAAGAGCTTGATATTGGTGAAATTATGCAATATATTAATTCTGTTAAGCGCATTTATTTTTCTGACATTAAGGAAATTATTACTTACCTTCTTTTAATAACTTTTGTTTACAAACAAAGTAATGCTATAATATTTAAAAAACTGTATATCATAATTGTACACTTATATTTATATTTATTTAAAAATATCAAATTATATTTTGTAGAAAGTATCAATAATTCTTTTAATTTCACATATCTCGTTACTTTATTCAAAGAATTATTTTCATGCTAATTAAAATATTAATAATGACTAAATTATTGCACAATAGAAACAGCATAAAGAAAAGTAGTGAAAATATGTAAGTATTTTATATCTCATAACAGATACAATAAATTTTTATAAATTATTTTTCATACAGTTAATAATATAAAAATATAATATTTTGTTATTAGTAAAGTAAAGTTTATAAAATATTAATAGTCAAACTTTATTTAAAACTCTTTCTTATATTTTTTAAATATAATTTTGATTTATTTTAAAGTTTGTGTAAAAATTACTCATAATTATGACACTAATTTATAAACTTTAATTTAATATTAATGACAAGTACAATAAATAGTTTGTTCAACATTCTTAATCAATAATGTTAATTGTTTTTGTCTAACAATTTGACTACAATAATTAGGAAGATATATAATGTTGTATACTGTAAGATTAATTAATTAACATTATATGTCATGAAATCAGTAAAATTCTTATAAAATGATATTAAAGAAATAAAAATGTAATAGAGTAGAACATAACTACTAAATGTAATATGAAATATTTCTTTTCAGTATACCATTAGTTAATAAAGTATGGAAGAAATATAGATTTGTCCACATAAAATTTTTAAGAGAAATATTACATTAATTTACTAAAAGTATAATTTATACATTATAATTATGTAATTAGACTTTTAAACAGACAAAAATTATTTAATGAAAGATGTAATATGTTAAAATCAAAGAAATATTTATGTTCATGTAAAGATCTATTTTTCTATATTGGTCAATAGATTAATTTTTACTTTAGATCTTATAAATACTATATTCATTTCAATCTTAAAATTATTTATATATTACTCATCTGAAGTTCGATTTTACTGTAATTTTATAATGATACTATAATGGTATTATAATATTAAAGTATACTAATGTTGCTTTAGATACTAGAAAATATTACAGTATGATTCTTCAAAGATATGTAACTTATTAAAATAAAGTATTAATTGTACAATTACTAACAATTATATAATTTCCTTATATCGAAATTTATATCGAGATATATCGACATTTAAATAATGATTTTATTAATTTTCTTTCAATTTAAATTATATGCAATACAATACAGTGCATTAATGTATAAATAGAAATGTATTGAATGGACTATGAACATTTTTAATTTGTTATGGTAATCATTTCTTGTCGAGTTGTCGTATTAAAGCACAATTAAAGGAGGGGGGCACCGTAATATAAGAATCATTGCGGACAGCATTTCCAGTTCGCTAAGAGTGCTTCATTGGTCGTGATGTTATATTGATTTGTTGACGCTAAATCGTTGTATTATTAAATTCAGGTAATTATATTAATAGCTGCATCATCTAACGATAAACATGATAATTCTTAACTGTATTGTTAGGTCATTAAGACATATAAAATCACAAGAAACAATAAGAATTATTGCAAAGTCTTTTTCTACGGTTGGTCTGGAACACATTAATAAGATGGTCAAAGCAAAGAAGTTTGTTGTAGCAAAACATTTTCAAAATGAGCCAAAACCAACAGATTTACAATTGGTCGAAGAAGAACTACCTTCTCTTCAAACTGGAGGTAAAAACTTAATAGTATATCTACTTATCATACTGCGTAATTGTACATATATCGATCTATGATCGATCATACCACTAGTTTCCTACTATCATGACTCGCTATTTTAAAAATTAGCAAGCATTTGTTAAATTTACTGTTCTATTACTGCATTTGTATTTTTTTTAACGATGTTAAACGATGTTAAGACCAGTACTGTAGCTTTCGTAACGTGGTTAACACGATTGCAATATCAAATAATTTTTCAGTATCATGCGTATGTACCTGAATAAATAATGAGTATGTTATCAGTTTGTTCTGAAAATGCTGTTTATCATTTTACTTCCATGACGATGCAAATAAATTTGATAATTATTAATTGAACATTTTTAATATTACGATGTATTAACGAAATTATACGAAATTTTAATAAATGTGATGTATTTAATAACTGTAATTGCAAATTTATTCTATTTTGGTATATATAAATATATGTAAAGAATCCTACTTGTATTTAACATTTTGAAAGCATTAGTAAAACAAAACATTGAAAATGTGCTTACTATGCAATATGTAAAGTATGATTTAATGAGTAGTGTCATGTTTTAAAAGTATAATTATGTATGACATATATTTTTCAGAGTTTCTTGTACAAGCTGAATATCTTTCAGTAGACCCATATATGCGTCCTTATGTTCTAAAATATCCATTGGGTATTACAATGATCGGGGCACAAGTAGGTAAAATCATTGAATCAAACAATCCAAAGTATCCAGTTGGAAAAAGAATTGTTGGTTACTTGGGATGGAGAACACACACAATTGTAAATCCACAAGCATATACTGAAGTTGATCTTATAAGCCAAAAGCCAATGATCTTACCTGATATAGGAAGTTTGTCACCATCACTATGCTTAGGAGTCTTAGGAATGCCAGGGTAATAATTCCTTCAAACATGTACTTTATAATCTGATTTTTGGTATAGTCTTTCTTTTACAAGACAAGTAAATATATCAATATTTGTTATTTCAGAAATACAGCATATTTTGGTCTTCTAGAGATTTGCAAACCAAAAGAAGGTGAAACTCTTGTTGTCAGTGGAGCTGCAGGAGCTGTTGGTTCTCATGTTGGTCAAATAGGAAAAAATGTTCTTGGACTTCAAGTTATTGGTATTGCTGGTTCAGATGAAAAGTGTAAATGGCTTGTGGAAGAACTTGGTTTTGACCATGCTATTAATTACAAGACTGAGAATGTTGCAGTTTCATTGAGGAAAGCTGCACCTGCAGGAGTGGATTGCTACTTTGATAATGTATGTTGCTATGCTATAATAGTATAATGTATAAATCGTTTACCATGTATTTAGCAAAAATATTTGTACCATTTACATTATAATTTCAGGTGGGAGGAGATATTTCTAGTGCAGTTATGTATCAAATGAAACCGTTTGGTCGTGTAGCTATATGCGGAAGTATTTCTTCGTATAACGCAGATGCTTCATCATTGCCAAAGGCGACTATTCTTCAACCAACGATGGTGTTTAATCAATTAAAGATGGAAGGCTTCATTGTATCTCGTTGGGCCGATCGTTGGTCAGAGGGCATACTAAAGAATCTTCAATGGATACGCGAAGGAAAAGTTCATCATCGTGAAACAGTTACAAAGGGATTTGAAAATATGTTTGATGCATTTGTTAGCATGCTACAAGGAAAAAATACTGGCAAAGCTATTGTTCAAGTTTAAAGAAAGAATACTTCAGTAATCTTAAAGGTACAATTTGTTTAAATATATTAGCATGTCTATAAAATATGTTTTGCCCTTTCAATTTAAGGCATCTGATAATATCTTAATTTTTATACATCTCTATGAACTTTTATTACTTGTATAAATTTGAAATTTTACACACATCTGCCAATTGTACAGTGCTCATAAATGACAAAATATACAGAATAATTGGCATAGACAGTTTTATTGCAATATATTACACAGATCATAATGCATCACAATGAATAATTACATTTGGTTTTTTGTTGCCAGAGAGCATAATTCTTAAATCTTAGGTACATATCTTAGGAATCGTAACATTACGTCTAGTACAACCTTATACGATACCTTACAGAAAATTTCGCAAACTTACATCCATTTCTAATTACAATATAATACATGTCTTGGTTTAGTGGAAATTCCATTGTGCCGAAGCTTTCACAATAGATACAAATTTTAACAGAACTTTCGATATATTTCAAAAAGAAATGTATTCGAATTTAATATATAAATGTTGTCGGTTAAAATTAATTTCTGTGTCGTTATATCACCGAGATATCATAGATGTTATTGTTCTATATTGTAAATTAAGAAATCATTAAAAAGAATTTTTCCAATGTTCAAAGCAGTATCTCTCACGAAATTCAATTCTTCATCGTTAGAATAAAGCAACCGTGTATCTTCAAGCTTGGTAGATTTAATTTGCGTATCCTATAAGATCCACTTTCGCGAATCGAACGTAGTACGATGAAACATATATACAATGACTGTTGCAAAAGCTCGTCGATTAATTTTGCGGTGTTTCGTTCGCTGACGTAATTTCGTCAATTACGCACGTTTTGTTCGTCGTGCAGCGTACTAAAAATTACTTTGACTTGGTAAACACGAGACACGTATAAATTCGCTAGGCGCAGCCATGAACAGAATAACTCCTAAACAATTTAATGAATAGTTTGTTTAATTATCTTTCAATTAACATATTTTCATCTATTTGAATTTTAAAGTAATTTTTTAAACTCAAGCTTTGTTCAAGTTTTACCTTAACTTAAATGATCTTTTCAGAAGAGAATTATTTTTTTTTCTCACCGTGTCCCGTATTCCTACTTATTTTACACGATCCGGCGCCAAACCGAAAGAATTACATCTACGCGAAGATGAGTTCCACCGTTAGAAAAGAAAATATCGCCGCTAAATAGAAAGATCGTGTCACGAGATCGGGAGATCAGAAAATCATGTGAAAGTTCTAAATCTCAGGATACACACAGGAGAATCTTTCCATCGATCTATCTCGATCGAAACTGATCACGTTCCAATTAATTTCGATATATTGAAAATTAATTCGATCGTTCAAAGTGGCTTCTTTAAAACCACGTCATTACCAAGCATGACTCTGAACTTTATAATCTCTCTCCCCCTCTATGCGTATCTTTTATCGTCGATACGTCGTATCGCATTGTTCACACTTTCTATCTTACCCCTGTAACGCGACTTTTTTTTATCTTTTCGAAGATAGAACACCGAGGTACAGGAACTTCGTGACCTCGGCTGAACAGCTCTTCTTTCTAATCTCAATCTTGTAATGTGACTAAGCGTTTTCGCGAGATATCGAATTTCTGACGAATCGCCCGTCGTTCTTCTTCTGTTATTATTGTAAAAGAAGGATGAAACGTTTCGTGCGAAGTTGCAAGGCGATTCATTCATATCTTCGTCCAGTTACGTTTCTTCGTCGCGCTCCGATTATCCTCTGTGAATCCTGTGACGCTCGTGTCCCATCAAACGAACGCGTTCCCATCGGGATCTCCGTCAGAATTTCATCACGTGACGTTGATCTCCTCGTCCTCCTCGTTCTCCGTCTGTTCTTCCGGTCGCTGAGGACTCGTTAAGGGACTCACGTCGCTCAAGTCCATCCTCGGTCTGTCTCCATCGGCGTCGCTCAAATCTGGATTTGGATTGTTCTTGTTCGGTAACGTTTGCTCCCGTGATCCGCCGGTCGCTAATAATTCTCTCTCCTTGCTGTTCCTCCACTTCATTCGTCGATTTTGAAACCAGATTTTCACCTGTAAACGATAATTCGCAGACTGTTCATTTCGGATAATACTATTACTATCAGGATAATGTTGTAATGTCTGTATGATAGAGAAGGGTTGATTGATGATTGATTGATTTGCCGGACGATTAATTAAGAGAAATTCGACTGTTCGCGATATTAAATGTTAATTACACCGATTGTCTGTAATTGATTTATTTCGGGCTGAAATTTAGTATTACCATTTACTAACGCCTAGAAGTCGAAATCCAAGAGAAAAACAATTCTTAATTCCAACGGTGGTGGTTTGGATAGAAGGTAGATAATCGAGCTGAATTGAGATATAGGCGAAAGTTCGAAAGGTTCATTTGTTAATTTTACGAATGTTTTTTTTTCTTTCTAATTTTATATTTATTTCGTTGGTTTAAGATATTATTTGAAGGAAGTAAATTCTTTTGTACCCTGTAGATTTTTAACGAGCGTTAAACAATTATTACCCTTTTTGTATATGTCTGTCATAGTGTTTTCAACTTTGTATCTCTCATATTATCTACCAAATCTGTTGAATATTTCATTACTTTAAAATACGTCAAAATATGCAAATACAGTATGTGAAAAAAGAAAAGAAATAGTTTGTGAACCTGTGGAAAGAATACGTGTGGAATTATGCAACAAGTATATGTCGTAATAATGGAATCTTTATTATTTACACATTATTAACCGTAAACATTTTTCCACATCAGCCAGAGTCAAATAATGCAGGATCTTACACAATACGACAAACATGTATATAAAATATGCAAAGTAAATATCACACAGACAAAACCCATTAAAATAAACATAATAAATTTCCATTGCAGATCCCACTTTATTCAAATTTTCTATAAGAACATGCACTGGCAATACGTTCGTATAAAAAAATTAACAAAAAAATTGTCCCTTCTTCGAGACAATGAAGTAAGCAACCCCAAGTTTCAACATTTCTTCCAATTCCTCCTGCAAATGTTGACGGGCGCGCGTTGTAAACGGGGGTCGAGAAAGGGCTCGTCATTTTCGTATATTAAAGACCATGTATTACCGAACCGTTGAACGGGCCAACGTCAAACGCACATGAACTCTGAAAATTTTCCGCTTCCCCACCCTTCATGTCCCTTTTCCAGCCAGTTTCGCCTCTCCTTCGCGCGCCACCCTTCGTTCCTCCAACCAATTCCTGTTCGCCACTTTATTATAGCCTTAAGCTATACTAGACGAAGCGTTGACCCCAGCCGCGGATTGATTTACCTAAACTGTTTTCCCAATTTTCATTGGTCGCTGTATATACACTCTCTGTGCGTTTATAAGTGTGTGTATCTGTGTAATATGGGTGCACTCGACACCCTACCGGACCCTGAAGTTTCCCTCGAACACGCCTTCGGGGCTCGCCAATAAGGCGTCGGACCTTGTACGAAATCGACTTTACAGTTTTCACCTTTCTTACTTTTCAGGGGAGAACCTGTATAAGTATTCGTGAAAGTCTTGGACGATGTTCGATTTTCTCTCGCTTTTTCTTTCGGACGAATTTTTCTCTCTCGAATTTTCGTTTCTTCAGATTTCAAATTTTTCACAATTTTCAGAAGAAGAGAAATATTGTCTTTCATTTATTGACAAGGAAGAATTCGGCGAGGTACGATTTAGAATATCAGTGGGCAACATTCTCTCTTACGCGACATTGGGATCAGATACTTGACAAAGTGGAAAATTTGTACGATCGTAGTTGAGTCGAAATATTCACCTGGAAAAATAGGCAACTCTTCTCTAATTGAGATTAGACACCTATTTCACAAAATGCAAGATTTCTCTGACCGTAATTGAAAAAATCCTCGATCTCGTCAAAGCATCGAACGATATCGACAAACAATACGCAGCTTAGGATCGGTTGAAGTATGAAAATACACACAGTGGCCACGAAGATTAATGCGATTTATAGTCGGTCGTTATTTAACGAGCCACTACATTTACGAACGAGACTTTACACAGAATATCAACAATTTTCGAAACGCGTTCAACAACGTTGTCTGCGCTTGACACCCGCGTCATTATTAATATTGCTCGACTCTGGCGAGCGGAGACGGCGGCAGGGAGGGTGAGAAATTAATAAAAACTTTATTATTCTGTAATATCTCGCGGAGCATTTTATGGAACGATTTCCCGTGCACGGTCGTGAACGAACGTGTTGCGTGCACCTGACACGGTGAAACGTGAACGAATTTGATGCGTCAATGCACCTTTCGGTTACTTGTTGTTTTTTTCTTTTTTTTTCTTTTTCCAAGTTTTATACGTGTTACGTATGCATATATTTTGCAAACAGGAATGTCGACCGAAGTTTCCATTGATAACGATAGATTTTTCCTGCGATACAACGAGCTCATTTCGACGATTCTAGCTCACGTTCGTGCTCGCAATCGGTCACTTGTTTAGATCGGATATCAATCACTCGTCGATTAGAACGTCTACGCAAATATTTTCATACAGAGACAGCTGTTGCAACGTGATAAGCGAGAAGGTGTTTGTATTATAGAAAGTGTCTTTTGAAAATTGATGCCTAATTTTTCTGTTACCGAAACTTTTCAAATAGAATCTACTTGGGAAACTATGTTACCTAACCCTTTCACTGCGACGTTCAATTTCATCCACACGTTGCCAGTGTAAACGCAAAATTCTTTTTATCAACGTTTCGATCATTTTCAAGAAGTGCAAAAGAACAACAAAGGAATAATAATTCTTTTGTTCTAAAATTGCACGGCGAAAGGATCGAGGCGAGAAACGGGGATACGTTGGTTAACGATTAGAAGATTAAACTCCTCGTAGCGATAAAAATATAAAAATTTCAACGTCGTAGAGAAAACTGAGGAGGTGACAAGAAAACACGGAGAACGAAAGAAATTCTGTGAAATTTCCAGGGGGTGACAGATTAAACGTGTATTGCAGAGGCGAGAAAATTACATGGATCTGCCAGGGATTAATTTACCCAAATTGTTTTCGTATTTTCATTTGTCGGAGCGTGTGCACTTGACACGATGCAGAACCCTAACGATCCGACGTTAATATGCTGTTTAGCAGTAGGGTAAACTCTCGATACAATCACTGACCCATCTTCGTCGGAAAAATCCCGTTTCGACGATAGTAGACAGGCTGTAACAAGATCTGTGAATTTACTCTTGGACGAAGAACATTTTGTTGAAAAACAAAATTTCACTTAATTTGAAATTACGAAGGTATCTAATTAGAACACAGTTATTCTTCGATACGAAATGATATTTTTTTTTCATCAAGTACGAACGTAACAGAATTAAAAGTAACAATCGTGTTTTGATATATTTTAGTAGGAGAAATAAATTATTTTTTATTAACCTCGGCTCGTTTATTTTTCGATAATGGAGTTGTTGAACAGGACGCGCTCTCTGAATTTCCGCGTAAAATTTTCTCAACGTCGTCAGCTAGCCTGACAGCGATGTTTCGACACGATACGGGGAAAGTTTGTTTAAAAATTACTCGCAGATACGAGCGCCACTCGTTTTTTACACGATTAATTAAAACGATTTATAATTGATAATTCGCCGTTCGTCTGAATTAAAAACTTCCGGGAAACAAAATGCCAGGCTGATTTGCCTCTTTTCATCGAGGAGAGGTACCTAAATCCGGAAAATCGAGAGCGGGTCGGATTTAAACGAACGTTCGAGAATTCGTGCCGTTTAAAAGGCAAAAATCCCAGGAAATCCGATGTTTACGAATAGGAGGAGAGATTAGAGGAGGGTTTAATATCGTGCTCAAGACGTTGCTCGTTTAGGGTTGAACACTCGATGCGGGGATGTGCGAGGAAATCAAAGTCGAAGGGGATCGTTTTCTCGCGTGAATATGGAAAAAAAAAAAGACGCGTTTACTTATTCCATAGAAACTCTCAAGTATTCCACTCCATTTTTCAGTAAATTCTAATACTGTAACACGATCTTCTAATTGTCTCAATTTTTATTATTCGAATGATTAGTTTAATCCTTTAACCCTTTGAGCGGTGAATTTACGATTGTCAAGAATTAACATATTTTCATTAAACTAACTGAATTTTTGAACGAACGTTGAATTTTTTTTATCAATTGAAGAATTGCTCCAAAAAATTCTAAGAATCGTCGAGAAAGCAGAATATATTTTTTCTTTTTTAATAGCAATATCAATTACGCGAATGTAAACATCGAGAGGCAAAAAGGAAATGTGTCGGTATATATTGGTAGGAATTTTCAGTAACCGGAAATTGCGAACGCATTCCAGGGAAATCAGAGGATTCGTTCTTCCGTTTCTCCGTTACCAACGATCCTTCTTCTTCCTTTCGTTTTACGTTTTGCGAGCGGCGACGGTGATTGATTGTCCCGTCAGCGGCAGACAGGTCCGGGAACTGTATAACAAAAGTAACAAAGCGGCTCTCCGTTCAGCGAGAAAGACGCCCGGCTTTTCGGAGAACTTGAATCGTTTCGTTGTTCACGCTTTTCGTTCGTTCTGTCCGCGCGTATCGTGCGCCCCACCAGACTTCGATCACTTTTATAAATCGTTCCAGTCGTTTTTGCTAACGTGTTACGAGAGAAATATTTCTTATTTCTTCTGAAGCCGAGCTGATAATAACAGGTTGTACGTTGTTTAAATCGTATCCGCTAATTTGTGGAACTATGATAATTGAAATTACCATCGATGACGGTAATTGTCGTTTTAATAATAAATTACAATAATTCGATGGTCATTCAAATGAGACCACGTTCGATGAAATAATTACTCGAATCGCTCGACCAACCATCGTTTCGTTCTACCCTCCTCTTCTTTCCTCTAAATTTCGTTTAAGAAATTCTACACCTATCTGAAGAACTCGGAGATATACTTATTTCTTGCGATTTTTTCAAATAAAAATGAATTAATTCTGATACAAAAATCAATTTCTGGAAATTCCAATATGAACATCCATAATTCGACCAATTTCCATAAAAAAAAAGGAACCCCAGCACTAACCTA